GGGCTCTATTCGCTCATCAAGGTATGCCTCAATTGCGATTTGCTTTTCTTTTTTCGCACTGCGATTCTCTCTTCGCTCGTCCTCAATTCTTGATAAATCCTCTTTCTTACGCGCTTATCCTGGAAAATTTTAGGGTTTATCGTCTGATCATACGCGGTTGTGTTGTTAGGATGCAGATAAAGATACTCATTTTCCATGTTTTAATGATCGATAGTTGATTAAGAGAAATTAAACACTACATTTATCGTATCTATTTCACTGATTCATGTCCTTAAGTCTGTGATTGATCCTTGATAAAAGAATTATGTTATCAGGTCTGATACAATGTTTGGTTCCAAGCATAAACTGGCTGGTTCTGGATTTCACCCGTCTTCCAAGTCAAATCCGTTTGATTCAGATGATGAATTGGATGATCATAAACACACCTTAAAACCATCAAATAGGATTTCCCCTGTACCTGCTAAAAGTTTCAGCTCGAACCCTTTTGATGGTGATGACGGTGATAAGGAGGTTGAGAAAAGATTCACTTCATTGTCGAAACACTCTGATGCAAGGACCCGGTACAGGAACGATTTCCGTGATTCGGGAGGTGTGGAAAACCAGACTGTTCAAGAACTCGAGAGCTACGCTGTGTACAAGTCTGAGGAAACAACGAAAACCGTTCAAGGATGTCTGAAAGTTGCGGAAGAAATGAGGTCAGATGCTACAAGAACTCTGGTAATGTTGAATGACCAAGGGGAGAAACTGACAAGGACACACCAAAAGGCGGTTGACATCGATCGTGATCTCAGTCGGGTGAGAAACGAAAGAGAGGATATTTAGATTTATATGTAAACCAATTAAATCAAGCAGCTTTTTTGTCTGTGTGGATGATCCTCATTGTATGTTTTATGTTTGGTTTCAGGGTGAGAAGCTTCTTGGAAGCCTCGGAGGTATTTTTTCAAGGACTTGGAAGCCAAAGAAGACTCGTTCGATAACTGGTCCTGTCATTACTAGAGGTTTACTCTCCGTTGGCTGATCACTTCTAACTTCTAAGGAATTAGTCTCTTGCTTGTTACTTTATCTAACTCTTCACTTTTTTCCTGAGTAGGTGGTGAATCCCCCAAGAGAAGAGTTAACCACTTAGAGTCTAGGGAAAAGCTGGGGTTGAACCATATACCCAAACCACAATCAAGAACCTGTGAACCGCTCCCTGAATCTGCCAATGCTTATCAGAAAGTACAGGTTTGGATTCTCTCCCTTCTTTCCTTCTGGGGTTTCACAAGTAGTCTTTTTTTTTTTCTTTACCGAGATCGTAAGGATCATGCTCTGTTACCAGATGGAGATAACAAAGCAAGACGATGGGCTTGCAGATTTGAGCAATCTACTCGGCGAGCTGAAGAATATGGCTGTTGACATGGGAACTGAAATCGAAAGGTTCTTTCTCATATCTTCTGTCAACTTTCTACATATGCATTCTCTATGAGTTTCCTCATTTCTTTCTTCCTCGATAAAACTCGTTTATATATGGAAATCGTAGGCAAAACAATGGACTTAATCATCTTCATGACGATGTCGAGGAGCTTCACTTCAGGGTGAAACAATCTAACCAACGGACTCGTCGTTTACTCGGGAAGTAAAATCAGCCAGAACTCTATTCATAACCAAACTCGTTAGTTTTCTCTGTTCTTCTGATGAATTTGTTTCTTTTAGTCATGGATCTTCTTAGAATGTAGATTTTAATGTTTTTAGTTCTCTGATCTTAATAAAGTTGAAACATTTGACCACAACAACTACAGAATCCTCTGAAATTAACAATCAAACACAGTTTTTGAAACATTTTACTGCAAATCACCACCATAAAGTTCATCAGATGTACCCACCAGCAAACAAAAAACAGACAACAACCTTATCAAACCGAACCAAAGAGGGTGTAACAGAATAAAGAAACACAACAAGGAAATAACTTAAGTTTTATGTTGGGAATTATGAATAGGATCAAGAAGAAGAGACATGAACTCTTGATCTGATTCCAAAGCTTCCATAAACTCTGGGAGAAGACACACTTCCAAATCTATGCTTCCTCCTCCTTCTCTTCCCGGATAAGCTGATACCTTCCCGTCATACTTACTGCCATAACCGCTTCTAACTGCAACCGCTTTCCCCATCCCAAACTCACATCCGTACTTGTTAAACCTCGGTGAGCTTCCCAGATGAACAATGGTCGGATAGATAAATGCATCTAGCAAAGCAGACGCAGACACAGACGTAGACACAGACTTCAACAATTGATCCATGTCGGAAGAAATCTTTTCGTCAGTGTGCTCGGTTACAGCTTGATGTAGTTTTAAAGCAGCCCATCCAAACTCATTCTCCAATAGATTAGCAGTTTTCGTAGTCGCTGTCACAAGAGAGATGTTAACCCCGAAGTAATTCATTGGCATTGGTGGATTCATTCTTGATCTATTATCAGCAGCAAACCTGCAAATAGTTTCTTGATCATTTGGTAGTTTTCTTGCTCTTGTAATGCTTCTCCATATAAATGCGCTTAACGACTGAAAAGAAGAGATGTTTGTTGTTTCACAATCTTGATTCGCCTTTGATTTCAGTGATCTCACTGTTTCAGAAGAGAAATGGAACATTCTCTCCTGTAAAACCGGAGATTCGATTTGATGAATAGACTCATCATGTTGACTGAAGGGAAGGCTGCAAATAGGACCGGACCCTTGACGAAAGATTGGAGGATTCTTGAGACAGAGCAAGTAGTTATTGTTGTTAATATCAGTGGTTTCTTCATGTGAATTGAAGACCTCAGACAAAGAGTTGAAGAAATGCCAGAAGGAACTTCCATCTCCAACCGAATGATTCATTGACAATCCTATGAAAACTCCATCTACTAACTCTGTTACCTACACAAGCCGAAAGAGATTCAGCCTTTCTTTTTGTCGTCTACAAGTCAAAAAGTCAGCGTTTTTATCACTACAAATCTGTTGTTAACATATTCAAATTATATGAATTTGAGATATATATATACAAGAATGAATTAGTGTACCTTGACTGATAAGAGACTCATGGTGTGACCATCGTGGTTCAATGCTTTGTGATGGTCAAAGAAAGATTGGACAATCAAAGGAACATACTTGGAACCAACAATGTCTGATACTCTTAGGTCCGTTTTGGCATGGATAAATCCAGCTCCAGGACTGTTATTGCAATCCACAAAGATCGAGTAGGATCTTGAATCATCGGTTTTCAAAGTGGAGAGGCGACCTGCGAGCGGGTAGAAATGGYAAAGTGTTGTGGCTAGAGAGTCTTTGAGCTTTAGCAGCAAAGTCTCCATGAAGAAATCTTTTGGTTTGAAAATTGGATCATCAGATTCAGAAACTGATGGTGGTTTGAGAAAGAGAAGACCCTTTTGGATGTATTCGGTTAAGAGCATCACATGATCCAATGGTGGTGATAAATGATAGGGCTCTCTTGAAGTTTCAGGGAGGGCTTTGGGTTTGATGAAACATTCCGATATAATCTTTACTTCCGATGAAGAAGATGAAGAAGAAACCATTTTGC